TGTAAAAGATTTAAAGGAAAAAGACGAATTCATTTAAGTACATCAGCGAGGCCAAGCGACCTGGAGAGAATCAGCCCCGCCAGGGGAAGGAGGGAGGTTCAGGGTTGGGCTCGTGGAGGGTGGGGTGGTGGGAGGCGAGCAGAGAGTTGCTGGTTCGCTCCAGGGGTTTGGGAATCTCGTGTTCCTGTAGTACTGTGCTTCTGTGGAGACTGTGAATAAGTGGATATTCCCGTAGCAATGACAGAGCTGCCCTTTATTTATTTTTCTTGGAGCGCCGTGTCTTTGATTTCACAGGTTTTCCCACCCCCTCTATTCCATCTTCCTCCCTTCCCTCCCTTTTCCTCCCTCCTCGTCCTCTTTTTTGTGAAGTTTACTTATGGAAGAGTTACACTGTACTGTACAAATGTCAAAAGTGTCAAAAAAAAAAGAAAAAAAAAGAAAAAAAAAAAGGGTACAATTTCCTAAAAATCACTGTATTAAAAAAGAAATGTCGTGACGAAATAAATCGATGCTGATCACACAGGTCCCTGGGGGTCGTTGTGGGCACAGTGGGGGTGGTGGGTCCTCTGAGTTGCCAGAGAGGAGCCAAAATGATCTGTTACCATTCCCCCAGCTGGCTCCTGCTGCTGGGGAAGGAGGGATCGTGTCCCTCCAGGGCTGTGACACAAGGAGAGATGAGAGCAGAGCTTAAGGCACAGCTTTAAGAGGAAAAAAAAAATATCACATATAGGCAGTTTTCATTGATCCTGGAAATCATTCAGCTCCTGGGTGATGCAGGGAGTGTCCAGCTTGCCCAGGGCTGGCAGCAGAGGGATGGGATGGTCCAAATCCTGCCAAAATTTGCCTCCAATCCATCCCCCTACCATCCTCCAGCCGCCTCCCAGGCTCGGCAGAGCAGACGGGTGTGATGACACCCCTATTTATATCCCAGCTGGGAGGCTCCAGCCCCCACAGCCCGGGGGGAGGGAAGGGAAGGGGGAATGGGGGGAACAGGAGCAGAGGGTGGGGGAGTGGAGTGATTCCAGCCTTGAGCTGCAAGACAAAAAGCAGGAGGGGAAGGAATGAGGAGCTACAGAGGGGCATCATCTCTCTGCCAGGCAGGCAAAATGAATCATGGAATGCTTTGGAGTGTAAGGACAAAGCTCACCCAGTGCCGCCCGCCCTGCCACGGGCAGGGACACCTTCCACTAGCCCAGGGTGCTCCAGTCTGGCCTTGGACACCTCCAGGGATGGGGCAGCTGCATCTCTGGGCACCCTGTGCCAGGGCCTCCCCACCCTCACAGGGAAGAATTCCTTCCTGATTAATTAGTGAGGATCTGAGTGGCTGGAGTGGATCCGAGGAGGAGGTTGGAGAGGAGCAAGTTTGCTCTGGAGAGAGGGAACAAATCCAGCCTGGAGCAGCAGGGAAAGCACCAGAGCCGTTCCTGGGAGCTGCAGCAGCTCCTCAGCCCGGCTCCACGGGTACATCCAAGAAGAAATCACTTTACAGGTCATCCTGCAAACAGGAGATTGTTACCAACGCAACCCCAACCCATCGTAATTAGCGGATGAGTTAATCAGCAAGAGGCACGTGGCTGGGGAGGGGTGGTCTGGCCTTGCTGGTCTCCAGCCAATGGCTCCCCTTGGGTCGATCAATCCCCAGTGGCCACAATGCCCCCCCCCAAAAAAAAAAAGGCCATTTGCTGCAGGCAGGAGCCTCTGGAAGTGCCCACATCCACCTCTCTATGCCCTGGCACTGCGCTGGTCCTCCTGAGGCAAGTCCTGCTTGGTGCTTGGGGTGGCTCTAGGCTGGAAAACAGGGATAATGGGATGAGCTGGGCACCCTCCAGGCTGGTCAGGGTGCCAGCCCTGTGTTTGAGGTGGGACAGGGACAGTCCCAGCCCAGGGGGACTCACCCTGTATTTGAGGTAGGACAGGTAGGTGTCCCAGCCCAGGGTGACCACGTTGACGTAAACCACCCGGTAGGTGGGAGGGATGAAGAGGAAATTCAGCAGCTGAGCCGCCGGCCACACGCACCAGTCGGCCTGTGGGGAGCAAGGAGAGCCCGCTGGATGCTTCCCATGGGATCCATGGGACGTGCCACGGGAGGGAAGGGAGAGCTCAGGGGTGGGCTCACCTTGTAAAGCTCCCAGAATTTCTCCTTGAGCTCATCCCAGCTCTCCTCCAGGGACTGGCCCTCCAGGGTGCCGATGCCTGTGGGGGCAGAGGGAGCACAGATGGGAATTGCACCCCCAAAACCCTCTCAGTACGGGAGGGAATGGCACTGAAGCACCATCCAGAGGGAGGGAGCTCCGGGAAACAGAAGGGGAAGCACAGAGGCTGCACTGATCTCTGGTGAGCAGGGACAGGACCCAGGGAGCAGCTGGAGCTGTGTCAGGAGGGAGTTGGGATGGATATTGGGAAATTCTTTCCCCAGAGGGTGGTGGGCACTGCCCAGGCTCCCCAGGGCAGTGGGAACAGCCCCATGTCTACCAGAGCTCAGGGAGCGTTTGGACAACACTCTGAGGGACAGGCTGGGATTTTTGGGTTGTCTGTGCAGGGCCAGGAGCTGGACTGGGTGATCCTTGGGGGGTCCCTCCCAGCTCAGGATATCCCAGGATTCCGCTAATCCCACCTGCAGCCCGCAGTGCCCCACGCACCCAGGAAGTACCAGACGCCCAGGCCGGGCGATGCCACGAGCTGGTCGATCAGAACTTTCTTCAGCACCGTCCGGAGGCTCCGCACGCCCCGCGCCGGGAACGCCGAGTCCAGCCAGAGGTACCAGTAGTGCATCAGGGGGCCCAGGCTGCAGCCCACGGCAAACATCCGGCCTGGGAACAACACCAGGGTCAGGGGGGGAGGGATTGCACTGCCAGAGGGCAGGGTTGGATGGGAGAGGTGGGATATTGGGAAGGAATATGTGATTAATTCGTCCTCGTTGCCACAAGGGAGGGAATTGAGGTCACAGTTTGGGCCTTTCCCGGAGCTGAATCTGCTTTTGGGGGAAGCACTCTAGATGGGGGGTCCCATAAATCACAGAATCCCAGGGTGGTTTGGGTTGGGAGGGACCTTAAAGTCCATCCAGTGCCACCCCCTGGATGGCAGGGACATCTCCCACTAGCCCAGGATGCTCCAACCTGGCCTTGGACACTCCCAGGGATGGGGCAGCCACAGCTTCTCCGGGAAATCCATCCCAACTCCTCCCCACCCTCCCAGGCAGGAATTCCTTCCCAATATCCCATCCCACTCTGGCAGTGGGAGTCACCCAGCTCGTCCTGCCCCCCCTTCCCAGTCCCTCACCAGTCCTGCCCAGCTGGTGTTGGCTCTCTGGGTGCTTGCGGCGGTGCCATTCCTGCTGCAGGGAATCTCCGGCCGCCAGGAGGGCCCCGCAGCTCAGGGTGTTGGTGAGGAGCAGGAGCCTCCCCGTGAACAGGGATTTCCAGGAGCGCAGGAGCCGCCGGCCCCGCGACAGCATCCTGTGGGAACAGCCCCCCCTGCGCTGGGCTCAGCGGGCAGGGACGTCCCCCAGAGCCCCGTGCCTCCCAGTCGCTCCCAGTGGCCCCAGTTCGCCATTCTGTGCCGCCCAGTTTGTCCAGTCAGTGCTTGTGTACCCTCCCAGTTCCCCTTGAACCTCAAGTTTGAGCTCCTGTAGCCCCCCAGTTTGTGCTCCTGTACCCCCCCCAGTTTGCCCAGTTAGTGCTTGTGTACTCTCCCAGTTTCCTCTGTGCCCCCCCAGTTACCCATGCTGCCCCCCCCAGTTCACCCAGTTAGTGCTTGTGTACCCTCCCAGTTACTCACCCTGTGACCCCCAGTTTGTCCCGTTACTGCTCCTGTACCCTCCCCCAGTTCCCCCTGTGCTCCCCAATGATCCACCCTGTGCCTCCCAGTCCTCCCAGTCAGCCCCGTCAC